CGAAAAATCATTAAGCCAAAGTTCTTTTACTTATAATTCGTAATTCCCGGCAATTACATAATGTGACTGCGGGTTGATTGCATAAACTGATGGAAGGATTTTTTCATATAAAAAAGCTCTATTAACTACTAATAAATTATTCTTTAATATGAAAAAATTTGATAAATTATTTATTAGATAAAATGTATTACAAGTTAATGAATATTTCTTAATAGTTAAGACTAAAAAAAATTTATCAACAGTAAACAAGTCATTTACTAAACACAATTTATTAATTATTAATAAATATTCAGTTACAGTTAATAAATATTTGTTGTAATAAGTAACTGTTAATAAATGTTTTTTTCCTCAAAAAAATAATGATTTATAATTAAAAAATATCTAGTTATATTTAATAAATAAACAAATTATTTTCAGATAAATAAATTTATAAAAACTTCATAAATTCTTCTATCAGTGTTATAATCACTTGTTTAATCGCAATTAAGAAGACTTCCAGTTTATACATCAGACAACTAATAATGAAATATTTTTTCAACCCCAATAAGAAGGTTTCGTGAGTGAGCCCGCGCGCAAAATGCGATATCATCTAGCAGGAATAAGTTGTTATTCCGATGGTGATTATATTTTTTCTTCATAAGTATAAGTAAAGTATATTTTTATATTTTGTTAAAAATAACTGTAATGAGCGCAATTATCGTGTGCGCCGAGAAGCAGAGTGTGACGACGAGTGGTTGTAACATTACATGCCATAGCGGCTAGGCTGTGATATGGAGGCACGGGATAGGTAGCGCGTGGCTCCATATACACCCCCGCTCACCTTTCTAGCTACCAACCTCTCCCCCTCTTTACTTTTTATACTTTCTTATCCACTTCTTATGTGTAGTTATAGTCCATCGTACATATACGTACAGCTTAAGAATATAACGCTCCTTACGCATGCTGAACGCTCCCCCGGAAGACTCCTTAGCGCGAGCAAGAGGATCTTCGGGTCAGAGACTTGGCATATTCGTTTACCTATAACTATATATATACATAAATGTATGTATGTATCATGTCGGCTCGTGCCTAGAATCATTTTTATTTATATTTATTCCGAGGCGAACAATATTACGAATTATTTTTATTTTAATTTTAATTAAACATACCGGTTATTCAATATTTTTATCTCGCAATAATCGAGACTGATAACTTTTAATTTTTTGCTCAAATTTAATTTTTTTAATGTTTAATTAATTTTATTTTATTTACACCGCCCCCCGGGAATTTTATATGAATTGTGTAAAGTGTTATGCAAAGACTATAAAAATACAACCAAAGATAAACAATCAATTATTAGTTAACATAAATTAAATTAATTATTAATACTCATATACAATGGAGAATAAGAAAAAAAAAAAAAAAAAAAAAAAACAATAAATCACTGTAATCACTCATTTTCACCAGAAATTTCACTTCAGAATTACTTTTTTGGCCTCACGTTTAATTTTTTTCGTAGACATCCCAAAGAGATTAGCCACCACTGCTTAACTAGTTGGAGCATGAGTAGAAAATTGCGACCTAACTAATAGTAGATCAAACACTCTATTAGTTTGTAGATGAATATTGTTTCATGTTTTAAAAATGAACTCGATTAAAATATCTTATACCTTTTTAATTTTGTAGATGAAATTTTTTAGTGTTAAGATGTTATAATGTGAAAATCTTTTCAAGCAGAAAGTTTTTTAGAAGAATTAGACTTGTTTATTTAGAGAAATATTGCAGATTCAAGAAATAAAATTCGTCATCAAGAGTGAGATACAAAAAAATTCAACATCCAAAAATATTATTTCTTCATTCAAAATACCAAAAAAAGTCTGGGGTAGTATACATAAAAAAAAACCATTTGAAGCCGAGCGGCTGTATGAAAAAATCACTTTTGAAAAATTAAAATCGAGTGTTGTGAATGAAATATTAAAAATACGAGAGAATTGTAATATTTTTTTCATCTTCTATATTTTAGTCAAAGTTTGAATTTCAAATTTCTCTAATTTTTTGTAAGAATCTTTTTGGATTTTTTCGTTTTCTTGATTCTGTACGTGAATTTTTTGAATTAATTCTTCCTAAATATCTCGACGCAAGAGTCAAATTCTCTCGACAATATTTTTCTTAAGGAAATCCTTTCGCTCCAGTTGAGTCAAAACAATTTTAGTAGTCAATATACGATAAATTAAAAAAAGAAACCTATAAAAATTCCTAAAATTAAATAATAAATTGTATATGAGGCATTAATCGTTGAAATTATAAAAATAAAAAAAAAAAATATTTAAATACAAAAATTAATTTGACTCTTCCAAATCAACTGCTAGTAGCCTGTCCGTGATTTGGCAACGCTGTCCTTCGGTTGTTTACATTTTCATTTGCATAATATAACCTTAACCACGTTTAAATTTTTACATTCAGTGTAAATAAATAAATTAGTTTGGATTTATTGAGTGGTCTGAAGCTCGCGCGCTACGCAACGTTGCCAAATGTTTTGACTCCATTTTAACGTAGGTTACTTGAGAATTTTTTGTGATTTTTAAATATTAATTTCTCAATAAATATCTCGGTAACTGATATATTTTATTGCAAAAAAAGAAACCTGAACATTTCGAAAATCTAATTTTTAGTTTTTTTTTACTTCATCTAATCCATGACTGATAGTATAATTCGAGAAATACTGCAAACGTCTGACTTTCTCGTAAGACTCTGAACAAATACTAACATTTAAAAATTTTATTTTTTCAAAAATTTGTCCGGTAAAGTATAATTTAAACCTCACTATTAGATAAATAAGGACCTTAACTATTAGAAAAAAATTGAATTTACTCATAATCTAATATTTTTTATTTTACATTGGCGGCGAAAGGACCTCCTTAAACGACCGAGCTTTTTTTTTTTATTTTTTTCGTCGCAAGTACAATTACTCATAGCTTAATATCAACCCGTGACTTGAAACTCTTTCGAGTCAGACCTTGCTCTCGAAATTGGCACCTAAAACTGGATCTAATCCCGCTTACGTCATTTTCATAAAAAAATAACTCATTTTCTACCCCAATAGTTATTTTTAGTTATATTTTTCTCGAATCAAATTTTTTTATGTATTTCCTTTGTTTAGTTTCTAAGTTTTTTTTTTTTCTTAATTTATCTCAAAATCACGCGGTTATGATATTTATCAGCAATAGTTTATCGATTTAGCCTGAAACTTAAATAAAGTTGATTGCAGTATCTCAAGTTGTCGCTTTGCGCGCGAAACAATGCGGTATTGTTTCATTCCACCATACTTATATCCATACACATTCGAGTAAATATATATGTAACAATCATAACAATAACCATAATAATAATAATAATAATAATAATAATAATAATAGAATTTGGTAGTTTTGACAACAATGCTCTCCACACTTACAGAAATGCAAATTTTTGGAATAAAAGTAGCTAAAATAAAAGAGTCTATATAGATATAAACAAAATAAAATGAAGAGAAAGAATAAAAAAAGTGTAAGGGCATTATAATTTATATTACTACATGTGGCAGCGGCACTTCCGCCGAGAGCATAGGCGCAGTTCCGGCGGTCACTCTACCAACCGGGTACCGACTAGTCGTCGGCGGAGTCCCGAGTTACCACAAGATCCTCGTACCTAGAACACAGATTATGGCCCTGTGTATTGTCCTCGTCATCCTCCTTCGTCCTCATCCTCATCCTCATCCAAAGTCCTCGTCCAGAGTCCTCGCCGCTAGTCATTACCATAAACAATTGTCTCCACCTTTACATTATTGTCAACAAGAATTATTTACCTTGCTAATTTGTTTCACTAATTTATTTAGTTTTGCTTTTTTTTTCACTATGTTGACTATGGTTTACAAATTTAATTAACACTTACAATTATTTTTTCTTACAAGCTATACAAAGTTTTTAATTTAAAAAAAAATTAGATAAAAACTCCATGATTTACGTTATTTTTTTTAGTCAAATACTTATTTTTTCCCTAAAGGATTTGGTAGATATGTAAAATCGAAAATTTTAAAAATTCAGCCTTTACGAGAAATAACAATTCAATTTTCTTAATTTTACAGTATTAATTTTTAAGGTCGTCAAAAATTCACTATTTTAAAAATCTCAAAAATAGAATTTTTGATCTTAAAACTTAAAATTTTTGGAGGCATAAAAAATTCAATTTTTTTTTCTAATATCAGAAATTTTAACCTTTTTCATTCAATCTATTGGAATTGACCAAAAATTCAATTTTTAAAATTATAAAGTTAAAATTGTTGACAGTATCAAAGCTTAAACTGTTAATTTTTATCCTCTCATTAATTCACGAAACCAATATAATTTGTTTACTATCAAACAGATAATTCGATCAATTATAATTTTTCAAAAATCATTAAAATTAAATTAAAAAATTTTTCCCGTCTTCCCAATAGAAAATTGTACGTATTTTGAAACATTACAAATAATCCATTATTCACGTAATTGTTTTTTTTTTTTTAATAGACTTATCATGTTCCTTTCAAAATTTGGTATACCTAAAATGGCAATCAAACTTGGTATCGTTTAATTATAATTAATTCAAAACTAAACTGCTGTTTTCTTTGTTATTATTTACAAAATACATACGATAAATTTTGTTCTTATCGCGCATACGCGTTATAATAAGAGTTAGAGTTGAGTTGAGTAAGTTCGAAAAATATCGTGAAATATGTGAAATTTAAATTACTTCAACAATTGACAATAATAAATTTCCTTCCTTCCCCCTTTACTCAACCAATTAATAATTTAATGTATTATTTTTTCAAAAATTTCATAAGCATTATGAGTCGCGCACCTTCAAATTTTCCAAACTTTTTAATGTATTAATTTTTTTAATTTCAATTTTGAAAATCTAAATAAATTTTTTAAAAATCAATTTCACTTTAAACAACAAATTTTTTTATTGGACTTTTACATTCAACAATACAAATTCGAAACTAATCACTGCAGCGAAAATTTTCCCTGTTTTGTAAACTCGACAATCATCAAAATAGTATTTTGAAATCTTTTAAGCACCCCGTGAGCTTCTTCGGGCGACTTGGATTTGAAAATTGCTCGGGTGTAGGCTGCAGTGACCTCAGCGACCAAACTTTGAGCTTTCAGAGCCCCAGCTTGAGAGGAAGCTCTCGGATTACTTTTAGTATTTTTGACAAAATTCGCCTCCTCGTTGATTCCTCTTTTTATCAATTCAATGAGGTTCTCGTCACTTTTTTCTAATTCCCCGTTTGACATCTTCAGCAAAATGTTTCTTATCAAAATATCGTTGGCTAGAATTCAAATTTTGAATGAAAATTATAACCGGTACAAAAATAAAAATAAATGTAAAATAATGACTGTAATTACCGCTTTTGACTCTGTCAGTCTGGTCAGTAAAATTGTTACATCCAGATAACGAAATAAAATGAAAAAAAATAGTCACTGGTAAAATTATAATAATGCTCTTCATTGTGTCGTAAATAACAATAGACTAAAGTCCGCTAACGCAATACCCTTTTTATAATATATTTTTTTCAAATAAAGACGTATATGTGAATGTTATGAAGAAAATTTATAGTATCGCTAAGTTTTTAAAGAAGGGATGTTATAAAACAATATTTCACGGTAGAATGGAAGCATTTATACTCGATAATTTGGTGTAATTTATTGTATTAATTTAATATCTTGTTTTGTTAAACGGATTTTTCTATTTGTAGGTTTCGATAATTAGAGAAAGTATAGGAGAAAATTTTTTAATAATGAACATTATTTTTAGTTTTGGATGTTCATACTTGTGTGACGTTGCATTTTTGTGGAAAAATTTAGTAAAATTAAACTCATACACTCACAAAAAAATTAATTTCATTCAAAACAAAAAATCATGAACCATTGAAATCATTTTTATTAAATTATTTATCCACAGGGTAAAGTAGAAAAATTTTTCAACTGAGTAGAATTTCCTTTAATAAAAACGTGATTTTCTTTATAGTGATTTCGCTCTTAGACCGACAATATTAATCTTGAATCTTGGTTTTATTTTTTCAGTGTAATAATTTCTAAGCTAATGTATATAAAATTTATATTTAGCTAGCCTAATATTAAATTAATTAAGTTAGAATATAATTTTTATTGTGCCACATAAGTGTTGCTTCAAATTTAAAATTAGAAAAATTGCAGTTTGAAATAAAATTATTAATATTCAAATTTTGAATGCTAATTTTTACCGCTTTAAATGTAATATTTACATTTTACAATGTAATTCTTACAAAATTTGTAAAAATTACAATCTGAAACTGTAATTTTTCCAATTTTTTATATGAAGTGCCACCTTACATTATGTGATGTAATTTTACCCTTTTTTTCCGTGCATATGAAAAAATTCAATCTAAATAGTTCTTTAACAATGTATTTCATTGCTAGAAGTAACTTTGGTCCTCATATAGACCCTGGTAAGGTTTGTCAGAGAGTGAGAGGGTGTAGCCACCTAGTGTAGCCACCTAGTGGATAAACCAAACACTTACAAGTTTAATGAAATTAGTATCAACTAATTAAAACAAACGAATCTTTGAAAAAAATTTGTTCTTGGACCAAGGATGTTTTTTCTTCTCGAATAGGTATTTTTTTTTTTTTATTTTTTTCAATGTAATAATTTCTGAGTCAAAACATATGGGATACATTAATGTATTGAGGCACACTAATATTCAACTTATTCAAGTTCAAATCGAATTTAAATAATACCGAATAACAAAATTCATCATCAACAGTTCTTTTACACGAGTTATCATGCAAAGTATCAGAGAGTGTTTGACGATTAAAAAATTCTTTTTGCTTTATTTTGGCAACAATTTTTATTATTACATCCTTGTTAGTTCACGGAATCAGTATACTCTGCAAACTATTGTGAAGCTAATTTAATTGAGATCAATTCCAAACTTTTCAAAAATTGATTTAATACAATAGAAATGGAAAATAACATCAAAATAGTTCCAAAATGTTCCCGTCCGTCAAATATGAAACCAGAAAAGACTGTAACCTGCCAAAAAATCCATTATTTGTGTCAAATTATTTTAGATAAATTCTTTGAAAGAATTGTAGGTCCTCTATCGCGAATGGCTATGTAACTCAGTGTCGTTTAATTTTAATCAACAAATACAATAAACAAAAAACCAAAATATTCTCTTTCTATTTATATGTCCCAGTCTTCTGAGCCGTCCGAATTATTTTTTCAGACACCGAAAGTGATACCTACTGAGTAGGCCCCCCCCCTTCCTCTTATATCCTCTCTTCCTCATCTCCAAATTTGTTGATAATCGATAAACCTAGCTGTAAAATATGGCTATTTATGTAAAATTAACATGTATGCACAGCAAAAAAAATTTTACTTGAATCAAATAAATAATTTTGAAGAACTTCATCTTTTTGATTTGAGTATGAAAATTCTAAAAATAAAAAATTTTTCTTGGTTTAAGTAAATTTTACTTGATTCAAAAATTTTTCGTCTTGATTCAAGACAATCAAACTCTTCAAAATTATTTTCTTTGTTTAAAAATTTTTCTCTTGATTCAAGTTAATTTTACTTTCAGTATGGTGATATAGCCATATTATATATATATATATATATATATTTACTAGAAATTTGAATAACGCGCTACGCGCGCTTCTTCATTTTAACCAATGATGAATCGCGCCCCATTTTTTTCAGGTTTTTTTTTCGAGTTTCGCCTATTGTTAACTTCAAACTCTCATTTAATTTTATTTTATAGATCTCACTAGGGGCGCCTACGTATTATCGTTCTAATACAGCTTTGTTGTATTTTTTTATTTTATAATTAAATGAGCATTATGAGTTGTGCACTTTTGAATTTTCCAAATTTTTAATAATGTTTTTTACTAGTTGAAAAAAATTTATCATGATATATACTCTGGTTAGCTTTTTCTGGTAGTGAGAGAAATAAGAGTTACCACCTTGCGACAAGAACAAGAATTTTCCTGATAAAAATTGCCCACTAACTTTACATTTTTTAAATCACATTGCTCTGAAATCTATTGATTTTAAATGAAAATACGTTCGAAGACCAAAAATTATTGAATCAAGACAACCGATTCTCTTCAGAATAATTTTATTCTATAAATTTTATTCTTGGATCCAGAATGATTTTCGTGAATCATTAATTTTTTTTTTTTTTTTTTTCAGTATAAACTGAATAAAGAAATTAATTTTATATTCAAAAGAAAAAAAATCTTAAACCTAAAAAATTATTTAAAAAAAAACTTTTATCTCGAATCGAGTGAAAAAATTTTTAAACTGATCGAAATTTACTTCAACCCATAAAAATCAAACTAATTCAATTTTTTGAAAATCAAAACTTTAGTTCCAAATTTCAAAACGATGAAAATATAAAACAAAAATCAACAAAGAGTTAGAATAACTAAAAAATCTCGGAAACTAAATAATAGACAGTGACAATAACCCAGTACAGATTGATAATGTCAAAAGATTTAAATGTCACGAGCAACAGGTCGTTGGCGTGTTTGACCGCCCCCTGGTAAATACTCCAAAGGATTACCACCGCTTCAACCCAACACAATATAATTAAATATAAAACATAATACTATACATGGATATATATATATATATATATATATATATGGGCCCTTGTACTTGAGTGTATAAATATGTGTAGCACGTTAAAAATACAGGTACACACCAAGGGAGAGCATCCAGCCATGATTCCTGGCGTTCACCGATTTTTACCCCTTTCCTGCGTACTGCATCCTTTCCTTTTTCGTAAGTACCAAGTACGCATTTTTTTTTTTTTTATTACTCCCCGTCAATTATTTTGCAATTTTTTTCATTAATCTCTCTACTTTGCATTAAAATATTTATTCATTATTTTCATTACTATTATTATTCTAAAAGTTATTAATCAAACCGCGAATTCAAAAAATAATTTATTGATGCGCAAAGAAGTATTCAATTCAATAAAAAAAATTTGTATCTTTGAGACGTCTTCCGGCATATACATATACATATACATATACACATATATGTACAAGTATATTACGCATGCTATAAAATATAAAATAAAAAAATATAAATATGTCTATACTGGGACTGTAATCATAGAAGACACAAATGTGTATTATTTTAACATCCTGTTACTTCTTACATACGCGCATTTCTCCTGACGCAAACTTGTATATTAGTGATAGTCCAGCCCTATCATTTTTTTATTATTCTGACCTGACGATCACGACATTTTTTTGCTGTACATCATACCTTACGTTATGTGTTTTTTTTTCTTTATTATTTTATTATTATGTTAAATTTTATTTTATGTTTTATAAAAAGTTTGGAAAATCTCAAAGTGCGTGACTTTATAATGTTTATTGAATTTTTAATAAAAAAAAATTTTTATAAAGATTTAATTTTTAACATCTCCAAAATTTCAAGCTTTCTAATTCCAAAAATCAAATTTTTGTAATTTCCAAAATAATGAACCGTTGAAAATTTGATTCCACTTAGATCCCAAAAATAGTATTTCTATTTTCAAAAGATGCAAATTTGAGTAGTTCAATTTTCCGTGCCTTTGAAAATTTAGAATGTTACGTTACAAAAATTAAATTTTTTATTTTTATTAAAAAATTAATATTAGAAAATTTTAATGTCCTATAAATTCCAAATATTTCAAGGATACAACAAGTCTATTAAAAAAAATCTGGAAAACAGTTGACCCTAAAGGCCATCCCTGCAACTTCCCGCCAATTCTATACCTAAACGCTTGAAATTGCACATATGAGGTTTCTGAGCTCTTCGAGCTCAAAAATACTATTTGTGTGTTATTTTGAGCTCTCCGAGCTCAAAAAAATAGCTTTTGTATGCTTTCGAGCTCAAAAGTCTGATAGAAGTTTCATAAAACGGTATTTTTTGAATTTTCAAACTGCAATAATTTCTATATGAATGAATCGATTTTCATGCGGTTGACAGAATTCCACGCAGTTTCTTAGAATCTATGATATACTTTTGAACACAAACTGATCGAACTGAAAATCTTAGAGAAATTTGAAAAATTCACTTTTTTCGAATTTTTTCGACAACGATTACTTACGAACCAATTAACCAATTTCTACGTTCTTGGTGGCGATCGACGTGATTTTTTGAGCTCTAATAATTATTTCATGTCGTCAAAAACGATCCGAAAAGAAATCTCGAAGTTATGTGAAAAAAACTTTTTTTTGAAATTTTTCGTTTTCGATAACGCTCGAACGAATCAAACGATTTTGATGGGACTGGTGGCAATCGACGTGGTTTTTCAAGCTCAAGAGCTGATTAGTTTTTGGAATCGATCGGTGAAGCCGTTTAGTAGTTATTCCAAAAAAACGATATTTTGAAAATTTTATTTTTGAGATTTCTCAAAATCTAGCAAACCGAATCGATTCAAATTTTCACGAAATTTAATGGCAAGGATA